AGACGGGTGTGGACTGACATTATTGATGAGTATAGCCGTACACGGCAGGGCGAATGTGCGAGCGAGGACTTGTATGAACAAAGCACATGTAATAGCGATCCAGATCCAAGGTCCACTGACACCATCAGGCGGGGACGTCCAGCTGGGAACCAGACTCAAGAACGGAGCTGTCGTGTACATCACCGGAAAGAGAGCGAGGAAGATGCGATAGCAACCAACGGTGCCTAGACGATGCGCAACTCGTGGGTAAACGAAGAGTTGCAAGGGTATGCCGATGACACCGATGATAGCAAGTGCTATACCGATACGCGCTGGAGGCATAGCAAGGCCGCCGGTAAAGAATAGGCCGTGAGGGGTGAAACCAGGAGGATATGGGTGACTACGGTCGAAGCGAGGCGTAGAGAGATGGATAGTCCAGAGGCCGTTGAAGGTACCTACGTGCATAGCAAGAACGCCGTGCGCGCAGAGTGTTGTGACGAGGTTGCGAGTCCAGATACGACGGAAGGGTAGCTGCTGTCTAACGATAATCCTCGGCTTGTCAAGACTAGCGGACGGTGGTGCATGTATCGACGTTGGTGTGGGTTGTAGCTCAAAGTCATCCTCCGGTACAGCGTTGTACCCATCTTCAGATGCGATGTTCTGGCGAAAGATCGTCCGACGTATCCATCGGCCAACGCGAAGACCTAGGTCGGGCCTGTCCTTGCAAAGTTCACCTGTCTCTTCAAGGAAGAAGAGAACGGCAAAAGATGATAGGCATAGGAACACGGCGCTCGTGAGATTGGGTAGGGCGTAAGGGTATCGCTTCATCCACTGTACCCCATCCCTGCCGCCGAAGGTTGAGTTGGGTCCGAATAGGGAAGGGTAGCTGGCAAAGGGGTCTGCGAGTACACCACCTGCTTGCTGTCAGTACGTTCTGTTATGTAGACCACTCGATGATACTCACCCATGATAGGTCCGACCAAGACGCCGACGTTGAAGATCATAGGCAAGATCAAGAAAGCTCTACTCTGGTACTTCTTTTCCTTAATAATCTCACTGATCATGGTCCTCATCACGCCGACATTGCCGTTCAGTATACCACCAAGACATCTGAAGGCCACTGCCATGGCGAAACTGCGCGAGAAGCCAAAGCCAATGATGCTAAGCATTGTGCCAAGTAGCCCAAGATATATCGTTCTCTTTCGACCACCGTACTCTGCATCTGAGAAGCGTCCCCATAGCATGGCGGTCATGAACTGAGTCGCCGGAAATGCTGCGCCGATGATGCCAGCTTGGTAGGAGATGGTCGACTCTGGGAGTGATGGATCGAAGGATTGGAGCTGGTAGTAGAGATATGCGCCCAGGGAGGTCTGAGTCAAAGGTTCGGACAGACGAGCAAGCATCAGGACGAAGAGCTGGTCTTTGCGAGGCAATTCGCTCCATGATACTGGTTGGCTCGTAGGCTTGTCTTGTTCGACGACGTCGTCGATATCGCAAGATGTGGTGTTTGCCTGAGTGTCGACATGCAGGTCACGCGACCCTGTCCTCTTTTTCGTGGGCTCATCCCCATCGTCAGGTGCTATTGCGTTCGCGCCAAAGCTTGATGGCAAAGGTTCAGCATATTCCCTTCCGTGATTAGGTCTCATAAGAGTAGAGGGCGTGCAGGTGACGATTCGTCCTGTACCTAGGTAGCGAAGAAGCGATTTTGGGAACGACGAAGAATGGGTACGCCATGATCGCTATCTCAGGACCGTTTTTAGCGCCCGGAACCAGAAATGTGCCGTCCCAAAGATTAGTGGTGCCATCTTATTGGTAAAGAGATAATGGGAAGTGTGGGTGGTCGCTTGCCTGGGTGCGTGGAGATGTCGGAGTTTAATGTTGCGTCGCCACTTGGCGGGGTAATCCCGGCGGCTTAGGTAAGCGCATCGCAAAATCCTTGTCGCGCAAGGGAAGAACGAATTCGGCACCTGCATATAAACTGGAATGGACGCTACGGTACAAGCCCATGGCATACAACACCACATGCTCAGAAAAGATGCTCCTACGGTCTATGCCGCCGAAATCTGCCATTCTTGTTTGATCATGATCTTTTGCGACTCTTGACTTGCAATAGATGCACGCTCCGCTCGCTGACCTCTCATGCAGTCCATCCTTGAGGGTGGGAGGGTCGATTTTCTGGAGCTCTCCTGGCCCCTTAAGCGGTCTAGTCTTGAGGGTGGGAGAGTATCTTCTTCAGAGTTCCCCTCGACTGTTGTGGTGGCGTACGCATCCGACGGCGTCAGCTTCAACGACGAGAACTTCGATTTCGATCGAGTACTCTTCGTCAGGGACTTGAGTTCATAACTGCCGCCTGACATCCCACTACCTCCGCCTGTTGTTCCCTCACGTAAGTATCCTAGGGATACTCCTTGTGTCATGAATCCTTGGGTGAAGCCTTTGAGGAGTGGAGTTGTTGCGGATATGAGGTTGAAAGAAAGAAGAACGCTTTGCCAGGCGACGGTCGGGACGATGCGAATGGCTGATTCACGGCTCTCTACGAATTCGGCATACGCGAGGAAGTGCATAAGAGCGAAGACAACGTTTCTAAAAGGTGTAAGTGTCGTTGCCAGCTCGATCCGGGGCTCATACGTACGGTATCCTCGTAAAGAAGGCCATCACAACGATGAATTTACTTTTGATCGACATGAGAGACGAGTGGAAGCCTATTATCGGCAAGGCCATGATGATTACCTCGGTGATCATGTCACCGACAGTAATTGCTTTGAGCCAGGGAATCTGACAAGTCAGTGTTTGTGCGGAAACATGTGTGGATCTGACAAGAGAACATTGACAGGGATGGCACCAGATATGAGGCACCACTCATGCGAGCTGATACTGCCTTTCGAAGCAGACGGAGGTTAGACTTACTAAATCGACGCAATACTCGTCTCCAGGCTTCGGTATGACGGTATCAACTGAACACTCGGTCCTGGTTGCAATGGCTCCGATCAGGCCCAACACCACTACGACGACGCCGGTGCCAATCGCTAGTATGGAGACTTTGACGTTCCGCGCGAATACAGACCGGATGAGCATGAGGATAGAGACCTTCGAAAAAGCGAGTGCAATGTATAGCAGGATGCAACTCGTATAAAAAAGCTGACGACATCCAAAGTGTCAGCGTATATCAGCGTGTTGGATGAAACGGAGGTAGAAAAGAGACCTTTGGCTGACCTCTTGTGTTTTAGATATCTCTGCATCTTCTAAGATGCTATACGACTTCCCGAGACCCCTCTTCAGCGCTGAAAACAAGAAGGCCCACATGCTGAACGCCAAAAGCTGTGTTTACGTCAGCTTCGGATCATACTGATAACGGCAGTAAAGGCGGGGCTTCGCGACGCGTACATGTGCTACTACGACGACAAAGTCGTCCCAGGTATGCGCTCTCCATTTCGTGAACCCAAGGCGAACTGCAAGTACCAGGATCGCATAAATCATGGAAAGAAGCGTGACGACCCAAAGCGTCGCGCCCTGATCGGTGGTTGTGATGCGGGCAAAGCGGTTGTCCGACGCCCTGGCCAGGGGCGAGGAACTGGATGAGTACGCCATCTGTCGCGTGAGGCCAAACAGACTGGCAAAAAGGCGTTATAAACGGCTGCTATGTTGCGCACGACATGCAGTAATAAGGTTCTGGACACCGTTGGTTGTTGGAAACATGTCGGGCCTCAAAGAACAGATCTTACCGTGTCACTCATGTCCCTCCATCACACTCGAGAACGTGAGGCGCAAGAGTGATCCTGAATACTGGGTCGCTACCTTGGCTCCTGATAGCCGCTCGCCTCCGGGACTTTGCCTGCATTGGTCGCCAAGGGCTGGGATGCCGAGATGATGATACCCAGCATCCAATCCCGATCAATTTTCCCTCGTGCGCAATCGGCCGAGCACTGACCGAACCGTGCCGTGCCTGTATATAGAGAGCAACAAGTATGCAGTACGGCCCTACTGTACATACATAAAACGAAGAGGTCGGAATTCCCGCAGCCCGCTCCCACCGGGTATTTGGGGCTGTACGGGAGACGGCGAGTCTGTCATAAGACTCTCGGTGCTTCTCGCGTCAGAGATTTACTGCGCGCAGTAGACAAGATCACGTTAATATGTATTCGGCTCGCTTCACTCGTGGAAGTATTTGTGAGTCGCATCGGCGTGGTCTGATTGTTAGCTCGCAATGCTGTCCTCGAGTCCTGACACGCGCGGCCAGCGGCCCGGGCTGACTCAAGCTTTTCCCTGCGCTAAAGGCCTGAAGTCTCCAGAAGTCCACCAGCCGTCCCGTCGGCGCCACTCACCCCACACCATCCTTCAGAACAATCTCTCATTTCACATGTACCACTCCACTGTCCCCATCTTCGATCTTCGCATCGTATCTCTGGCTGCATTCCACGCATGGCAGTTTCACGAAGATGTTGCAGATCAACATGTCACTGTGTCATCATGCTTGCAGTCGCCAAAGACGATGTTCCCATCCGGTTAAAGCTCCGACGCAGGAGAAATGCAGTCGAGCAGCCATCCCACGCGTGGGCTTCCCGACCCGTCAGGATCCTAGACTAACGGCAGTTCTGCGGCGCAAGCCGGTGCGCAAGCCGGTCCTTCTGTGACTGCCATTTCTCTGCGCATAAGCGAAGAGCATCTAGATCCTACAATACGTGCTGCGGAGCATACTGAACCTGTCCAGTGCGTCCAGAGAGTCCCACTGCCACATGAAAACCTGCGAACACGCGAACAAGCTCGCGGCATGCGCCAGGCCCCCGGTCTCCAATCTGATCCTCCAGATCCTTTGATTCCCATTATTACGTACCAGATACCCTGCAGTGTCTCCAAGCGAACGAGACAGCTGAGCGCGTTTGCTCCACCCAGCGCCACCCTCTCGAATGGGATAGTACGTCCCGCAGCAGACATCGGAACCACCCTATCGAATTTCTTTTCTTCTGATTACTGGTTACCGACTACACTCCTCCATCTAATTGTGGCATGCACGCATCGCGACAATGAACGACAGCATGATGAAGGGTCCTTCGGAGGCGATCGACTCTCCCACCAGCATCGAGCTGGCGAACCAGACTGCCGTGGGTGAAAAGTATGGCACACATAGTGATGAGAGCGATATGGATCGCATGGGCAAGCTGCAGGAGTTGAGAGTATGTTGAAAACGCCCGCCGGAGAGGTTCCGATATACTGACAAGAGATCAGCGGCAATTCAAGTTCTTGACCATCTTCGGCTTTGCTGTACTGCTTGGCAGCACATGGGAATACGCATTGATGTATGGTACTGTTCTTCGAAGACGAAGAAGACTGCTGACGTTGCTGTAGTGGTATCGGAATCTCGCTCTACAATGGAGGAGCTGCCGGCGGTATCTGGTTACTTGTCGTCGTCTGCTTCGGCATGTTCTTCGTCACGCTTTCATTGGCAGAGATGGTGTCCATGTAGGTGATTGTGAAATTGATAAGGCATTAATGCGTCTCACTGACACAAACATAGGGCTCCGACAGCTGGTGGGCAATACCATTGGATATCGGAATTGGCACCCAGGAAATATCAGAAGATACTCAGCTACATCACCGGTATGCTACCTATGGTTGAACGCAGCATGTATGCAGTACTGACCGATCAATCCAGGATGGCTGTGTGTCATCGCATGGCAAACAGGTATGGCTGGTACGGCCTTTGCGGTCGCCGATCAGTTCACAGCTCTGATCGTGCTGAACAAGCCATCCTATGTCATCCAAGGCTGGCATAGCACCCTTCTGTCCATCGCCATCACCACATTCTCAATCCTGTGCAACACCGTTCTAGTCAGGAAGCTTCCCCTGCTGGAAGGCTTTGGACTCGTCCTCCATGTATTCGGATTCTTCGCCTTCGTCGTCGTCCTCTGGGTCATGGGCGAGCGCTCAGATGTCACAACCACATGGACCCATTTTGAAGACCCCAGTGGCTGGGGTAATACAGGTCTCGCGACTCTCGTCGGTATTCTTGGTCCCATCCTTACCCTTGGAGACCCTGACTTGGCCGTCCATCTCGCCGAGGAAGTCAAAGACGCTGCGTGGGTCAGCCCTCGAGCCATGGTCTCCACGGCCGTCGTGAACTACTCATTGGCTTTCATCATGACTGTCACCGTCTTTTCCACTCTCGGCAACGACCTCGACACGCTTCTCGCCACCCCGCTTGGTCAGCCATGGATCCAGATCTTGTTGAATGCGACGGGATCTATCGTAGCCACCAACATCCTGGTAGTACTCATTTGCTCGCTGCTCATGTTCAGCTCGGTCAACCAGGTGACAGCTTCATCCCGCCAACTCTGGTCTTTCGCCCGTGATCAAGGTCTCCCATTCTCCAACTGGTTCGCTTACGTACGTTCATCCTTCCCGCTTCCTGATCCTTTCGCTAATCCTCACCCTAGGTACCACCAGGCTGGGACATCCCCGTCAACTCCGTCATCGCTACCCTCGTAGGAACCGCACTTTTGAGTTTGATCAACATCGGCTCCGCCATCGCCTTCAACATCGTCATCGCGCTAGGAGGTCTCGGTATCTTCACGGCCAACATCATCGTCATCGGCTGCATGATCAGGAAACGTGTTCTCGGAGAACCACTCCTTCCGTCCAAATTCGACCTTGGCAAGGCGGGCATTTACATCAACATCATCGCTATCACATACCTTTCCTTGGCTATCGTGTTGATCTGCTTCCCCGAGGTGCCAAACCCGTCTTTGGCAGACATGAACTGGTCCATAGTCATGTTCGCTGTACTTGTCGTCTTTGCAATGGGTTACTACTACGTAATTGGGAAGGACAAGTACGACGGACCTGTCGAGTACGTCAAGCGTCAGTGAAGGCTTCCAAAATTCTAGGGTTATTGGATCTACGTAGCCCCGTAACCTTCATACCTATATCTTTGTACATATATACCTTCTTTTCATCTAGACTTCTTTCCCAATCGAAAACCACTCCAAAACAACTCCTGCATGCTAAAACGTTTCCTTCGCTCAGTGGCGCCACGTCGCCGCACACCCAACTTCAACACCCACCACGTAACCCCAGAATAAGCGCACGCGTATACCAGTATCGAAACCCAAATTATAAGAATGGTCAACCACACCAACCTACCTACTAAGTCCAAAAGCACGTTATCGGATCCGATCGAGAAGTAAAGTCGTATCGCACGACCCATGAGCTCTACCCCAAGGCCTACCACGAAAACACGGATGCTTGCGTATATTTCACGCCGAAACGCCGGGTCCACGAACGTGAGGAAAGAAGCCTTGGTTAGCACATTAACGTCCTCGTCTGTGAGGGTGCCCTTGGCTAGCGCTTTCACGGCACACAGTGCGCGTCTGCGCCATTTGAGCGGGGTGAGAATCTCAAGGTGGAAGTCGTGGTGGTGGTCTATGTGAGTTATCCATGTTGTATGCACCAGCCAACGGAGGAACTTGACTTCAAGACTATCGTCTGAGGCTGAGGCTTTTAGCGTGGGAGCGAGGTGGTGGGACCAGTATGGGCACGATTGGGGTGTTCGGTTGATCCATTCTGTGAAGCATGAGTGGCCGATGATGTGGCCGCAGGGATGGAGTTGGATTGCTTGGCAGCCTTCGGGGTCGTGGGGGGAGTAGGGTGTTTTGCAGATGAAGCATTCGGCTTCGGGGTCTGGGTTTGTGAGTGTGGTGTAGATGTATGTGTATTGGTCGTTGAAGACGTTGCTGAGGCGGTAGCGGGACATGCTCGCGTGTTACAAGGATGTCAGTGTTGATGGGTTGCGTGTGCAGTCGCGTCGTGGTAGTTGGTCAAGGCAACCTAGGTGGAGCTGTCGAGGTACGTGAGAGGGTAGTGTATCTGATCAATGATCCGGGCATGCACTGTGAACTACTATGCTAAAAGCAGGGAAACTAGTGAATTGCATGCATGATTATGGTGAAAATTGGCGAAAGGTTTTCTGGCTTGAAAGCTACTAGGGTATATCGATCTATCGTTGGGTCTGAATGCTGGTCATTATTCTATTGGTATACATATCCATGGGCCCCACTATGTCCTGAACGAACACAATCCTCGCAGTCAGATCCGCAGCATTCCCCTAGATGTCTAATACAAAGTAACCTCCGTGACCCATGCCAGAAGCGGACCCAACGAAGTGCAATCCACATCCCCTGACCTTTGTCCAAAGTCTGGATTATACCCGTGAACACGACCGACCTGGCCACCACGACGAAGACCGCCAACCTTTGGTTCAATCATTCTAGCAAAGCACATGTTGGCTGACTGCTCCATGGAAGCCGGACCCTTGTGGCTGCCGGACTGACCCTGGGACACTGGATCATACTCGATGCATAAACCCTTTATGAGGTCTCGGTTCTCGCCGCGATCACCCTGGCCGCGGTTATCCTGCACGACACGGTGATCTGTTATGAACGAGTCCGCCGACGAAGGTGATCCTGGAACATACTTGGCCAGATCAGTAGGATTGGGTTTCCAGGTGAGACTCTCTCCGTCCATGAAGAGCCAGATGAATCGTGGCTTGGGCTCATCGGCAGGGAAGTAGAGGGCTCGAAAGTGTTTTTCGCTTGGCCGGTCTTGAAAGTCCTTGAAGGTGCTGCAGATGGTATTATGCTGCGGCGCGTCTTCTTGTCGACATTTTTCGGAGCAGTAGCCGATATTGCCGCATCCAGTACATGCGGTGGTCCATTTCTTCATGCATATGGCGCAACCGTCGACTTCATCGGTCTTAGCGTAGTCTTCGCTGTTAGATGTCATCTTACCTTAGAGTGTCTGTTGTAGACTGGATGCGTAAGGAAATTGATAGATATAGGAACAACTAACGTTTGCTATCAGCGTCGCGTGACGAGCCGTGTGATAAATCTACAGATGCACGCCAACCAAGAAAAAAACTAAACAGGCCTACAGCCTGCATTAACTTAAAACCCTACAAGATAGATAACTTAGCGTTAATGTAGGCTGTAGGCCTGTTTAGCTTTTTCCTTGTATAAGGTGGATGAATCAGCTTGCTCGTCCAGCTAGGTCAGCCAAAAAGAGCAAAAAAAGAGGACAAGGGCAGAAAGAGAGGCATGGGTTCGAGAGTCCTCATTTCAGATCCGGGGCAAAAAAGAGCAAAAACATACAACAGCGGGGATTCGCTAGTGGTCACCCACCTAACTACTAATCCGCCGGTATCATGCTTGTATATGGCTGAGCGGACGGGAAGCCTAATTTTCATGATCCTATGGTCGTATGTATCAGTTCAAGCAATCTGCAGCTTCATATAGCTGTTTGAGATGACGTGGGGGCTCAAGTAGCTGAACCGAGTCCGCTATAAGATGAAGAACGCCATGCCAGCAACCACTGCACGTCATGCGCGAGTTTATCAGAGCCACTGATCAACGTCGTCTCTCATTTCGTCGTCACTAATACACTTAGCCCTACATCCCCATATATACACCACTCAACTCATCCAATCCATGACCCAGAAGCTCAGTTCTTATCATCAGGACTGAAGTTAATCGACACACCGTTCACACAGTGTCTCTCATCCTTGGGGTTACCGAACCTCTCGCCCTTGAAGATATGCCCCAAGTGACCTCCGCAGTTATTGCAGACAATCTCCGTCCTCATCATGCCAAGACCGGGGTCAGGCTTTTGTCCCACCGCGCCAGGAACGGCATCCCAGAACGCGGGCCACCCGCAGCCAGAGTCGAACTTGTGGTTTGCCTTGTAGAGGGGCGCTTCGCAGCCGGTGCACTTGTAGACGCCGGCGTCGGGGTAGTGCTTGTCGAATTTGCTGGAGCCGGGCATTTCGGTGCCTTTCTTTCGGAGGATGCGGAATTGCTCTATCGTAGTGTTAGTGACCGTGCGCTGGTAGTTGGGACAGGTGCTGTTGTACCTGGCGATAGCTGTGCTTGCCACTCGCCCTCGGGCTTCTGGACTGGGTAGTTTGTGTTGTCCGCCATACTGCTAGAAGATCCGAAAAGGGCGCCCAAGAAGGGGATATTTGGCATCGAACGGTATATGACAGCGCGCTGTGGCGTGTTGTAGATAGTGCGACCGAGCGTGCTAGCAGGACTCGATCGGATAAAAGCGCTTGTTGTGTTGGTGACCGTGTGGAAGGCGCGGAGGAATGTGGGGAAGGAAGGGAAGCGCATGTGGATTCGTTTTACGGGAAGGTGGTGGTCGTTGTTCTGGAGGAGTAATTGTTCTTCGGCGGATTGTAGATGATGCGGAGGGGTGGCGGAGAGCTTCCGCCACCGAAGCTTTGACAAATCGAGTACATGGCGTCATCAATGTCGCGCGCCATCAACACCATCGTCCTTCCGATATCGTGACTATCGCGATATCATACCTAGCTAGGTAGAATCTTTCGTCGTGGCGAGTGTCAGCTCTAACACCTTGTGAGGCCTGAGATTCATACTGGGTCGATGTTGCCGCGACTCGGGGTTCTCGGCGCGCCCATCACGGCCTGTCATCGCATATGTTCCATTCGCATTCGGGTGTTCGGCACTGGCAGGTGACAGGATGCGTCGGTGGTACGATGCTGACTGCAGATGTGGGCCAAGGCTGACTCCAACTCGCTACAGCTGAAAAACAACATGTATCGTGGTCGCTGTGTTGCCTACATGAGCACCGTCAGATTGCCGTGTCTCTATCCCGCGAACAATTGATGTACTTATAATCTTCACACACGCCGAATTCGCGCGTATCGGCTACCCACGCGATGGATTCCAAGGAAAGCGAGCAGGCGAAAGAGATTGCGGCATCGACCCCAACATCATCGAGCACAAAACCGAGTCCAAAACCAGACCAACCAACATCCTACGACCCCAAGCCTTCACGTAAGCCACCGCCGCAACATGGCAAAACTGCAACTGGAGCACCCGTCAATCCCCAGACTGCTTCTGCGCTCGCACAATCGCGTCACAAAGGCAGTGGCGTCCCAGGATCAACCATCGCCGCCCTCATGGCAGAGCCCGAGCCTGAGCCGGACATCAAAGAGAAGAGATCGCTGCGCGAGCGGTGGAAAGAATGGAAGGAGAGGAAATCGTATGACAAGAAGGACGAAGAATCGGTATGGCAGGTGCGCGGAAGCTCCACGCAATGGAATGTTTTTGGTTCACCTGTGAGCGAGGGGAAGATAGAGAAGGGTAGGAGTTGGAAATAGGCGTATCGAGTAGGAGAAATCTTGGTAAGTTGTCTTAAATGAGCGAGGGAAGGCAGATGCTAACGAGAGGATGTAGGTGGGGTAGGAGCTAGATTATTAGAGCATGAACCATGATGGCCGACGGTACATCATCGCGCCTTCCACAACATCATCGAATTTAGCTACACGATTCCCTATCTTTGATATCATCATCGCTCTTTCCTTGCTCAAATTACAACGTCACAACCCCACATCCCACCAAGTCCCTTTACCTGAACTGTCCCTCAACATCCCCCATCGGCCCCATCGCCATCTCAACCGCCCTCCTCGTCGCCCCATCCAAATCCTCCTTCTCCATCCCCAACACCCCATTATCCAAACCCCCTATGCTCTCATAATCAGCCCCCTCACTCCTCCAAACCCCCGCATAAAGCGCCTTCGCAAACCCCAACATCTTCCCCTCTCCCAACTCCCTCATCCCATCCCCAAACCTCTTCTCCACATCCTCATATCTGATCGTCCAATCCGCATCTCGCGTCCCGAGCACCCGGTGTAAACTATCTAGAATATCGCGCTGGGACACCAGGAAAGACGATATGTAAACACCTTCGTTCCTCCACTTCTCTAACGCGACACCATCGGTGGCATCTTGACAATGCACGGGAAGAGACAACAACCCCGCAACAGCCCTCCCACAAGCCTCCCACGTACTCACATTAACTTTCTTCATCCCATCCCCATACATCGTCACGCTCCTCTCGCGGATCCGGAAGCCAAACCACGGTTCCCCCATTGCGAGACTGAATTCGTACCAGAAGCCGCATACAAGCGCTGTGTAATCGAGTCCTGGCGTGCTCTTCACATCGTCAATGTAGCGCTCGAAGTTGGTGGGTAAGTCAGCCTTGCCACTGAGCGCGCGATCACCGATGCCGTAGCCGAAGTAGTTAGGCATGATCCAGCGGATCTTGGCGGCCGCGGCGCAGGACACGATACGGGGGTGGAGGGTCGGTGGGGCGCGTGCGGAGAGGGTTATGATGAGGAAGTCGTGGTTGGAGAGGGCGGAGGTGAGGGCTGTGTCGTCGTCGTAGTCGACCTTGACGACGGTGAGGTTGGGGTTAGTGGGAAACATGCCGGTGCTGGTATGTCGGGTCAGAGCTGTGACCTGGTGTTTGCCCGTACCAAGGAGGTGGGTGAGGATGTGGGAGCCGACTTGTCCGGTGCCCTGATGGTGTTAGTGGGATGAATGGAGGATGGGATGTGGAGGGGCGTACGCCGATGAGGGCGACTTTGCGGATGTGCGTTAGTTGCTGGGTTGCGGAAGACATAGCAGATCGAATTTGATGCTTCCAAAGTTATATTGATGCGAGGAGGCGATATCTCTTTGACTGAGTTCGCAGAAGGAGTTGATGGGTGCTTTGTTGCTCACAATTGCTGTCTTCCACCCATCTTTATACCTGATCCCATTCACGTCAACAGCCTGGCTACACATCCTAAGCCACGAACACTTTCGGAATGACGCTAACCTCACGTCGTATACAACACTGGAAGTACGCCACAAAAGTCTCACACGGTCCACGTCTTGTCAGCCAGCATAAGCTAAATCCGCTTAATGCCGAGGCCGTGCAAAGAAGCCACGCTGAAGCGGCATCAAAAAACACGTTCATTACATCGCTAGCTTTGTCCAGCAAACTACCGTTCCAGAAAGAAAGCGCCAATGTCTTCATAGACTATCAATTTGAGAGTGGTGATACGAAGAGTGCGAATCTTTGCGCATCGCCCAATGTAGACTTCCACCTGAAAGGCTACGCAGGCCTACGGAGAGCAATAGCATAAACCAATCAATGGGAAAACATAGCGTAGGATAACATAAGCTACGACAAAGACAAAGCCTGATTGCGAACACAGTGCGTAGTGGTTGCGATGATGTAAGACGAAACAATACGCATCGGACAATCGGTGGCAACCATCCACCGACCTTACACACATCCTCCCGGTCGCTCTACAAACCTCATACAGGTTCATACCTATCGACCCGCGTCCGATCTGATAGATAGCGACTGAATCCCCCGTCTCACAACAACGCTGGTTATACGGTATAACCTTCCCCCGCAGCACACTGCTTCGCTCGATCAGATACCAATCAACATACACCGCTGATGTAACCGCAATCCAGTCATCCCAACTCAGACCTAATAACTACCAACCACATTCTCAATCTCAATACTCGGCTGAACATACGGCACAACCTTCGTCCTCACCATAGTCCTCTGCTCAAACGCATACGCAAAGCCAATCAAACTCTCTTCACTCCACAGCGCACCCGCAAAAGAGATTCCAAACGGAATATTCGGCGCTGTAGCGTTTAAATCACCGCGTGAATTCGTGACAACCGTTGTGTTGGGCGGCAGCGCACCGAGCGGAACAGTAACAATAGGGCCGCCAATGATGGCAGAGATACCAGAAGCAGAGCGCGAAGGAACAACGACGGCGTCAAGGTTGTATGTGGATAGTGCGCCGAGGAGACCGCCTTCGCCACCAAGGTACAGGTCTTCTTGGTAGGCTTCCCAGAACTCTATGTCGGTGTTTGAGAAGTTTTGGGATTGCGCGATGGAGCTGTCGAAGTCTGCTGTGTCTCTGTCGGGGTAGTCCTCCTGGGGGAAGTTTTGGGTGAAGTTACGGACATCTTCTAGGCTGTGGACGTCGTTGGGGTTGTATGTGAGTTGCTCAAGGTAGTGCGCTAGGTTGGGGACGAAGTCGCCGTCGAGAACGATGCCTTCGGCGTTTGATTCGAGGTACTGGTCCCAGGCGGTGTAGTTGGTGTTGTCGACGATGACTGCGCCGGCGGAGCGGAGGACGTCGAGAGCAGCTGTGAAAGCAGCATAGATGGGTGCGGATTGGGGACTGGGTGTGCCGATAGCGTTGCGCGGTATCCCGATTCGCTTCCCTTCCAACGCATCCAGAGTGCATGCAGCTACGTAGTCGGGCTTGGTGGCATTAGTTGCGTTGCTCGCCCAGGGAATTGCAGATGTGTAGTTGTCGTAACTGTCAGGTCCAGAGATGGCTTGGAGAATGTAGGCTGCATCTTTGACTGTGCGGGCCATTGGCCCAACGGTGTCTTGGTGCTCAGAGATCGGGATGACAAGTGCTCTGCTTGTAAGTCCGACAGTAGGCTTGATGCCGACGACATTGTTAAGCTGGCTGGGAGAGATGATCGATCCATCCGTCTCTGAGCCGAGTGTTCCAAAGGCGAGACCAAGACTAGCAGCGACACCGCTACCGCTACTGCTGCCACTTGGGTCTTGACCAGGGTAATACGCGCCATACGTTTGACCACCTCGAGCAGTCCATCCGTTCGAAGAGTTCGAAGATCGATAGTTAGCCCATTGCGAAAGATTGGCCTTGCCGAGGATGATAGCACCAGCTTCCCTCAGTTTGGCTGCGACTGTAGCATCACGTGGTACTTTGGCGCCCATTAGTGACCAAGATCCAGCAGTATTGTTCATTTCGTCAGCGGTAGCGATATTGTCCTTGATGAGAATGGGGAGTCCATGGAGAGGGCTGCATTCTGTCAGCGAAGGATCATGCAGTTTCTTGCAGCACAACTTACCCACGAAGCTTTCCACAAGCTCGCTCCTCGTCCAACTCTTTCGCGATCGTCCAGGCATCTGGATTGATCTCCAGTACTGCATGTAGAGTTTTGTTGACTTCGATGATGCGTCCCACATAAGCCTACATTATGTCAGCGGTGCAGTCCAAGGTAGATCCATGCCTACACATGTTGGCAAGAAAACCGGGAACCTACCTGAACCAAGTCCAAGCTCGTAAAGTCTCCAGCCTCAAGTCCAGCAGCCAGGTCATCTGCGGTAGCGTCCAGCAACAGAGGCAATTGGGGTGTGGTGACGTTGTACTGTGCGTATACGGTCGTCGTCAGCGGCGCAAAAGCCACAAAGACCTTTGTTAGAAACCACGCTGAAACCATGATGACGGTTGCGAATGCTACCGTTCGGTAGGAGAGTGACGAGTGGATGCGGTATCGAGCAAGAGCTGCTCCATTACTGTGTACGATATCATGTGTCTTATAGTCATGCTTCCCGTGGTGACCCGAGAAGGACTGCCGCCGTGCACCCATGTCTGACCAGGATTATGCTGCGCGCGCGTCTTCCCCGCGGTGCAAATACAAATTCGATCCTACAAGTGTGTTGATCTGCATGATAAGAAATACAGATATGCGGTGTCACCCTCCAATTTGTGCCCGTTGTTGTGAGGTAACGGCAGGCATGCAGGTACTGTCCATCTGATTGACTAGCCACACCCTGGTACCTGATCAGCGCAATACACCGGTATCACCCGAACAAAGTACTCGAGCAGCCTGTAAGCCCGGATTTCTCACTCAGCCGTTTCTCAATATCATAAACATTCCGAGCGCTCATTGTGTAGCCTGGGAAACTGCAGATGCGATTGCGGCAGGTAGCAATGCAGATCATAGACGAGAAAGGAAGGTGCTAAGGGAAAGAATCGTGAGATCGAGCTTGACAAGTGCCCGCGGATGTCTAACGGGCTGCTGGCGACGGATAGTTATCGATACGGCTAATGCATATTTTCCATGATGTAAACATGGAGTTCTGTTTGGAGTTTTGGGGTAACCATTGCTATCGACCTGCCGTAATCGGCGCCTCTGGCTGCGTCTTACCTCCAGAACCTTGGTCAGCCGTCGGGCGCATGCATAGATTCTTGATCAGGGTAGGTCTTTCCGCGTTGCTAATATCGGAGTATATCGTAGTCAAATGTCATGCGCCTTTGTCAATGGCGCGCTTTTTAGCATTTGGCGTTCAGTCAAAGTAGCCAGGGAAGAGCCACTGGAGCTTCTTCTCGGCCTCTGATCCACGTCCCTCCTTCTTTGTCATGGCGCCTGCGAATCTCATCTGTCCGTCGAGGTGCTTAGCGAGCACCTGTTCCGTGTGCTCCTCCTTGCTGAGCTCGTTCAGCACTGCGCCAACGAACCGCCTGGCGTTCTCGGCGTTTGCCTTCATATGTGCCATGACCATCTCCACATTGACGTCCTCAGAGCCGTCACCCCTCCAGCAATCGTAGTCTGTTGCCATGCAGATCATCTGGTATCCGATCTCAGCCTCGCGCGCGAGCTTTGCTTCAGGCAGAGCAGACATGTTGATGACGCTGCCGCCCCACGAACGGTAGAGGTTCGACTCGGCGCGTGTGCTGAATTGCGGTCCCTCCATGCAGATGATGGTTCCCTTCTCGTGAAGTGTGATGCCGTCTCCCTCCAGCGCGTGTCCGCACTGCCTGACAATATTGGACAGTTGCTTGTCGAAGGGGTCGCCAAAGCCGACGTGTCCAACCATGCCGCCCTCGAAGAAAGTGAATGGCCTGATGCCCTTTGTACGATCGATGATTTGGTCGGGGACGACAAAGTCGCGTGGTCGCACTTCTTCTTGGAGAGATCCGACGGCGGAGAAGGCGATGATGGTGCGCACGCCGATGTGTCGCAGCGCAGCTATGTTGGCCTGGTTCTTGACCTCATGAGGCGCGAGTTCGTGGTGAAGGCCGTGGCGCGAGATGAATGCGACTGGGATAGGCTTGCCGGTCGAGGGCGACGGGTGTTGTAGGATGGAGACGGGTGACGATGGTTTGCCCCATGGTGTGTCGACGTCGAGTGTAGCGGCGAGGGTGAAGCCTGGTAGGGAAGAGATACCAGTGCCGCCTATGACGGCAATGTGAACGGGCGCTGTATACAGGGTAAGCATTTGGCCCGACGAGCACGGGACGGAAGGTGCGTACCATCGTAAGTGCTAGGAACGCCAGCCATCTTGCGATATGGAATCGAGACGCGTCTAAATGAAGTGCGAGGTTGGAATTGAAGTTTGAAGAAGTTTGGAAAGTGTTTGACGCGTAAAAACATACGCTGAGGGGTGTCGCGATAACATTTTCTGCCATGGCGGGGTGCTCCTTCCCCCGGGCCCTGATGGCGTATGCTTCGGCCAATCGGAGCTGACAGGAGTTACACGCTAGCGGCCTTCTTTGGGCAGCTTTCCCTCACATGCTGCCCATTACTCTCACGTCCTCAGCATTTGATTGCAGGTTCAGACTGATGTTCTCTATTCGTAGCAAGCCTTCACCCATGAATACCCATCCACTCCTCCCTCATCGCCTCCGCCAAATCCCAAACCTGCCCCTCATCCACCACAAACTTAACCTTATACATCTTCATCTTCTCCACCTGCGCGTCGTCGAACAGCATCGCCATCGCCCCCTTGCAATGCTCATCTCTCTCCTCCTTAGTCTTCGCCTCAGTCACGAAACGAATCACTATCTTAGCGCCAGGCTTTAGTTCAAAGATGCCATCGAGAGCCTCCCGCATCCGCTCCGGTGACTTGGGTATGCCAAACATGTAAGCGCGGAACGAACCGCGGTCATGCGAGACGGCATTCAATCCGATCTCGACGCTGGAGACTAGTGCTTTTGGGGGAATGCCTAGTTTCATCTCGTCGGTGATGAGGAAACGCTTCATTACTCCTGGGTCGTCGCCGAAGAGAAAGGTGCTTGTGCGGTAGTAGTTTTCCACGAGTTCGCGGTAAAAAGGTTGACCAACGTAATCGGTGTTCCAGTAGTGCGCGGGGAAGTGTTGCGCTTTCCATCTGTTGAAGTCGTACGAGTAGAGCCTCGTTATCGGATCCAGGGTCGTCCGGAAGTGTTCGCGCTCGATGAGTTCGCGGTCTCGTGTGCTGAGGTGGAAGTAGATCATGTCGCGGATCTCACGCGGTAATTTGGTCATGATGTTGTTGGTAAGCTGCTGGCATTCCGTCCAAGCGACTTGTTCGACTGCGTCTCTTGTTGTTGGTGTGGTGTTGGCGAGATCTTTCTTTAGGCTTGCAAGCTCCTCCTGGAGCTTCGCGACACGCGCTTTGCGTATATTTTCTTCAGAGAGTGCTCTATCGTTGGTGTTAGTCTGACAAGACATAGTGCGAGATGCGCATCCACGAGCTCGCTGGCGTACCTCAAAGCACGCTTCCGAAGGTGCACGCATGTACAAGCACCCACACCACCAATCTCATCTGTCTTTGGAAGCGCGTACATCACGATGCACATACTTTGTCGTTGGATCAAGATTGAAGAAGATCACGAAGAGAACGTGTGCCGATTTCAAGAAGTCGTACTATGGTCTATCAGGGTGCTGCTGATCGCTTATTCAGGTACTCACGCCCTGCGTATGCGGTCTGGACCCTGCATGACTTACGATCGACAGCATACTCCGCTTACGCCAGCCATCAGGTCCTCAAAAGCTCTACCCATATATTCGAGGGCAAAACACACCCGTTGGGACGGGAAGGAAAGAAGCAAGCAGCAGACAGCCTCATCGCCTAGCATTGCCAGCAGCTTTTGCCAGCTTCAACATAAGGAACTGTTAAAACTGGCTCATTTGCCAATCTTCTTCGACAAACCGCTCTTGATCTCCTCCATCGTGACGTCTCCATGATCAATAGTCACCCCCCACCCAAAATGATCAAAACACAACTTAGCCTTTGTACCAGCAGCAGCTAGCCTACGCAGCGTCGGCAGGATGACTGGAATGACGGTGTCGCATTCCCAGTATTCGGCCACGTGCGCATTCAACAACCAGTCACGGTTTACGTGGAGGTGTAAATCGATCTTAGTGCCAGCCTTGAAACCGAATAGTGCTTCGAGGTCTGCGAGCAGCGCTCGACGGGGTTTGAGGGCATAGTTCCTATGCAGGCTGGCCAACGGTGCCGTTACCCCGTCGAAGTCGTACTTGTCGCATTGTATGCACAAGGAAACGTTGAGGATGTAGTTGGCTGGTATGACACCAAGGTTTCCTCTATCCAAGCTCCGGAAGGCGCCTAGCCTTGCAAATTGGTCTCGTAGGTCGAATGTGGATGTGCGATAGTACTTTTCGAGTAGCTCTATGGAGAATTCTGGAATGACGTATGCGGTTTTAAAAAGATGACTGTAGGGTTCAACGAAGTAATACAGCGTTTCGCTTCCCTTGGCGCAGGGCTTGCTATCGCAATCGCGATGGTCGCAATGCTCTAGGACGACCGGGGAGTTGGGCAGGAGGTATGCGTAGATGTAGTCGCGTATCTCGCGTGGACAGACTTTGAAGATCTTGTCGCAGAGGTTGCGGCAGGCGACCTGAGCGTATTGGTTCAGCTCGTTGACGGTGTTGTCTTTCTGTACTTGCAGATCGGCTTTACGAGCCTCGTGTCGCGCATCCTCCTCTTTCCACCGTTGTAGGAGCTTGGCTTCTGTATGAAGTAGCCTGTTGTACGTCAGTAGCTATATGTCGCCATGTTCGTGCGGGACTTACTTGTAGCACTTGTCGCGGAGCTGCTTTTCCTGTTCTTCTGGCCGTAATGGGGCTGTCATTTTGGTACGAGTAAGGTGGATTGTAATCTTGTTTACGTTTTGCAAGATGGAGCTGTGGTTGAACCTGGGTGTGGAACCGTGTAGTGAGACCAGGCGATCAATGCTGAGGGTGCACCCCAATTTGTAGGCGAGGAAAGGAGTGAGAAAGCAGCTTGTGCCTAGCGAGCGATAATGCTTTCACGCGCGAACATTGCGTTATCAAGCTTCTCCTAAGATGGATTCGGAGAGAAACTCGTATTTGATAGAAGAAACCACTAACAGGGCTACAAAATGGCCGATGTGTGAGCTTTTGTAAGGAAAGAAAATCGTGAAGAAATCGCATCAATCGCTTTTTCGTCCGCCCCAGTAGCTAGTACCGTCCCAAACAAAACTGCACGCAAAAATTCCCATTCGCTTTTCCCTGGAACATAGCCATCTGAAAGTAAACAATTTGAGACCAGGAGAGGACATTTACGGAGTCAGTGGAACTGCTGCCCCTCATCCTGTCACGTCGCCACAAGATCACCCCTTGATCTTCAGCTTGTCATCGAGAGTTTCGAGAACTATGCCTCGTCGGCATTGTCAGACGTGACCTCCTCCCCAGCGAAAGCAGTGGCGTCCCATATTGACGCTGTACTAGGATCCGGATCTTCGTCAGACTCAACGTTCACCTCCTTGTCAAGCTCAGCTTTGGACAGGCGGTCCTGTACAACTTTGACATACTGCAAATGTTAGCCTTTTGAGAAGAATTGTCTCGGAGACGATGCAAACATACCTCCTGGACATCTTGTGTGATGGCTTCAAGGGATTTCGGGTTCCACTTAGACGCGAATGAGTTCACTTCCATACTCTTCTGAGCAGAGAGAAGTATGCGGGCTCGACAGCCGACATCTTTGAGTCGCTGGAGAATTGGGAAGATGACCGGAACGACAGTGTATGCCATCCACTCCTGCTGCTCAAGTAGAGTAGCGTCCTCGCAAAGCTTCGATAAAAGATCGATAGTGATCGCAGTGCCATGTCTGAAACCGAATAGCAACTCTAGCTCGACCAAAAGCTGCTTTGGACTTTCTCTGTGACGTTCTGTTACCCAGCCCGATTCAAAGTCTGCATCTCTTGAATGTATGTCCGCGGGAATGTAGCTATCTTCGCGGCCAATCTGCTTAAACTTGTAGTTGCGGCAGTTGATCTTGATCTCCACATTCGAAATGAAATCCACCGGTGCGAAGCCCAGGTCCAGGTGGTCTATGGCGCGGAACGGAACAATGCGGGCGATAGTGGATTCGAATATAAAGTGAGAGGAGCGATAGTAGTTCTCTCCGATCTCTTGTACCATCTGCGCCCCCATGTACTCGGGCTTCCACCAACGAGCTGCTTTGACGTTTGCAGCGATGCAACACGCCGAAGCCAGAGAGTGACAATCCCAGGTTCTGCCTGGGTAATCACCGCAAGCGATGTAGACGTCTTTATCACCAGTGATGTAGCTGTAGATGGCGTCCCGAATCTCGCGGGGAAAAGCGTTGTGAACTTTGGTGCAGAGCTCCAAGCACTCCATCTGCGCAAGTGCCAAGAACGCATCGTCCGCCTTATCGTGGTCGGCGTAAACCTTGGCTTCCATGAGGCGGTCGCGATCTCGCAACGCCTGCAGCTCGACTTGCAGCGCTTCCCTCTCCAGTTCGGTCTCACTCGCTCCTTTCAGCGCCCTATGGACTACGTCAGCTATCGCTCAGCATCGGTGAATTGAACTCACTCATGGCACTTTGCGCGCAGGCGCTCACTCTCGCTTGGGGGTGTTGTAGTAGGCGCCATCTCAATGTGGTGACGCGAGGGATGGAAGCTGTAGGTTGAGAGTACAAGGAGTTCTGGTGGAAGAACTCGGTATAAGTACTGGATTGGGCCACTGCACTAGTGGTCGGGTAAGTGCGAGCAAGATGAGACCGCTAGTAAGCGCATCCGTCGGCAAGTGATAGAAGGTAAAAGATGAAGTCGTGAGGCCCTTGATCTCAAGTAAAGGTAGCTCGTAATCTTCCCTTGGTGACTATGGAGACCTGCCACCCATTGGATAGCGGAGCCCACAAATCATCGGGCAACCATGGCCCGCCATATAACCGTATCCTCCTGACACCCGCCCAACTCTTTCTCGATTTCAAGAAGCTCATCTCTATCAAGAGGCATGTATTCATCGCGCTCGTCATCAGTACCGTCTTCTTCCGATTCCTCGTCCTCTTCTTCGTCTTCGTCGTCTGCTTCGTGCAGTATATCGTCGTAGTACTGTTCAAGTTCTTTCCGAAGCTGCGTTTCCAAAGTCAGCTTGCATAGTGATGCCACAGTAAGATCATCACTTACTCGTCTGAACTTGTCCGACCACTCATCGAGTGACATAGCTGTATTCCCAGGTATCATCAGGTTGACGTGATGCCCTGGTATGATATCTTCGAATGCATATCCTTGCCATCCTCGCGATAATCGACAGTCATTCGTGACCACGTGCACAACGAATTCGATCGTCCAACCAGGAAGGTCCGGAAGCAGTTGCCTGACATTGTGTAGTAAGATCAGGAGCCGGTCGTCATTATAGCGCACAACGCCCTGGATGTCGCGTAGGTAAATTCGTAACCGTGCTGGCTGGATCCGTAGTGTAAGATCCGCCAGATCACGGGCCAGAAGTCGCTCGGTTTCCGGCTCGAACTCGTCGTTGCAGTCGATTGTGATCTCCAACTGGCGGACTATCTCAAGAGCTTTGCAACTAGTACCGACTGCAACACTGTTGAAGAAGGCTTTGATGAGATGTAAGTCTGTGCCGAAGTCGAATGTACTTCTTGTGTACCAGTACTCCGCCAACTCTTGAAGTGTGGCCTTGCCAAAGTGGTCATATCCGCCGCTGGCCAGCAGACCGATGCTGTTGCTGACAAGCTTGAATGCGTCCGAGATACCGAGATCCTTCGATGCTACCACAGGTACAGTATGTTGGCCGTTGTGCCAGGCTGGGGGGCCGACAACTTGCTCATAGATCATGTCGCGAATTTCGCGTGGTAGTTTCAGCTGCATAGCTTCGCATACCGGACGACATTTGCTTTGCTCCACTGCCATCAGCTCCTGCAGAAGTGGCTCGCCCTCGCGATCTTCGAGACGTTGCCTCAGATTGCTTTCTAGCTCATCCTCGAGCAACATACATTCGTCCTCGAGTAACATTTTCTCGGCCTGAATCTCGTTGATTCTGTCACGAATACGCTTGTCATCTGCCAACAGGACTTGTGTGCGGTTCTGCTTCGCTCGAAGGTAATGGCGTAGGCGTTGCTCCAGACTACAAATGCGTCAACACATTTCCAACACTCGGGAGAGGTTCCACTTACGTCCCTTCATTCGGCAAATCCTTGGCGTTCGGCATATCTGCGTCTTGAGCGAGAGAGTGTGGCTCTCGGAGTGGTGGTGTTGGAGGAAGCTGTGGAGGTGCTGCTCAGTCGACGCGGTCTGTCTTGTTGCACGGAGCGAAGAGTCGCGTTGGGATCCGCTAGCTGAACCCCACGTCACGCGAAGTCACATGGCAATCGACGATGGCAACCTTGGAGAGCCGAGCGACGTCTTGGTGTGTTAACCAGGCGGCCTGGAACAGCTGCGGGGAACGACGCGCCGAGAAGCGCGTGATCACGCGTGAGGTTTGCCCAAACCTGGTTAGCTTCCACGCTACCTAGCTTCCTAGGGAGCCTCCGCATCACATCGGTCTCCAAGCTGTCATGAAGTGAAACCACAGTCGCCAGCCTGAACGCCACATGATTTTGATGGATTCGATGTGGATCAAAACAAACGAAAGCAGAATAATAGGTACCCATGCAGCCTGTCGTGAATATGCCTGCGCCGAGGCGCAGGTGCTACATAACCCCGCTCTGCGCCCCTGACCTTCCGCCTCCCGGCTCTCTCATCGTGACCGGTAATTTTGGTAATCTTGACGCTCTATCCTCCTTTCGCCTCGAAAAGCGCGCCTGCAATTCATCTTGGCTGCTTCGCCACTGCTGTAAGGATCTCACAACACGAAATGGAAATGTCCGGACGCTCCGCCACAAAGACCATGGACACCAACCACGAGTTTGCATGTCGGGAACTCTGCGACAACGTAATTGCGACACTACCAAGGGAACTTAGAGACATGATCTACGAGTATATCCTGTCTTCAGTAGTACGCGACGTTGCTGCATTGCCGACAAGCGAGCCAACTTCCTCCAAATCGGGCCCTCGCTACTGGCAAGCCGAGAAAGTTGGCGACGCGACCTCGAAAGAGATACTCGAAGTCTGGTATCGCTTGGTTCGTTTTCACTTTGGACAGGATCTGGGTTATCTCGAACGCTTCCTTTCGTCACAACCAGCGCCCTTGGACACAACCCGCCAGCTGCTTGTCACAAAGATCAGTATCGCCTTCGACCTCAGAGACGTGGGGACTCACATGCAGCCATCTGGAGGCGGTGTGGTGAGGGACTCCGCATCCCGCACACGTATGCTAGAACGACTGGAGCACCTGTTCTTGTTGAAGGAAGGCGCTTCCATCCATGTCTATGTCATTGTACCCCATAACTACACCATACTCGCAAGGACACCAGATCGGTATGCATATCACGAAAAAAAGGTATTGCGTGAGGTTACCGCCACTATAGCTGACTTACTGTCACGTTTGGCGGCTGCTGGATACGGCCTTTCCACTGGCATCATGCTATCATCAACATGGCCGAACAACGGCTCACTCTATGACTCGGTTTCGGAAAAGTCGACCAATGATACGCGAAGTTGCTTTACCACTGGGCATGGCTCAAACCTGGTATGGCTGTAAGTGTCCGGTTAAACATGGCGGTAGGCTCTCGGTTGACAATGAATAGGAGACGCACACCACCTACTACTTCACGCTGCAACTGTCATGATCTAAATGGGATGACATCTACGCCCCGCGGATGCGTGCTACAGTGCCAAGACGCCATCTAGATACCCGCGCTGCTGCCTAGCCCCACATGATGCCAAATCGTCCTTGCGTGCTATCTTTTCGCACTCCAAAAAATCATCACCAAGGAAAGATAGGACCATGCGTCAAGAAACAACTGCCAAAGAAGTGTTGAAGCTGTATCAACAGGCTGTTGCGTAAGTCCAGACAATCCTCGTCCATCCGGATTAGCATTGACGCAAACTACCAGGGCCCGTCAGCGTATCAAATCGCGATTTACCTCTGGAGAAAATGAGGCGACCAGAAGAGCCATGGAAGAGATGAAAACCTTTAATAGCTATGGACAAAATGAGGCCGTCGGAAGAGCCATGAAAAAGATGAAAACCTTCGATAGCTATGGACAAGCGTCTTGCAGGTACATGTGCCAAAAGATCCTCATTTCGCTGCCCCCAGAGCTTTGTGACATGATAATCGAACGCCTCATAGGCCACAGTCGCAGGGGCGTCGAAGCGGGTGGAACTTGCGAGCCCATATATGCTTATGGAGACCATCAACCAGCCGCGCATTACTGGAACGTCGAGTATGTCGGAAAAACCATGCTGGCGAGAACGATGGCTGTCTGGTACCGCACAAACACTTTCAATGTACAGTGGCGCCTCAGAGTGGATCTGAGGCGATTCCTTAACGAAGACGCCCCTTGTATACACTCCCCGCGTTATAAGCTGATTACGAAGATCTGTATCGTCGTATCTCCAGATTTTCTAGCGTTCGACCCGAAGAAAGACCCTCCTGGTAGTATACTCTATCGGATGTATTCTCCTCGAAGCTGGGAAGAACAAATTCTAGATCTCGAGCTACTGTTTCAGTTGCGAACCGGTGCATCGATACTCATTCTTCTTGAGTATTTGGATACCTCGGCGATGCCCGATGATGGTCAAGATGCTCTCCTCTTGGAGGGTACTGCCCCCATGATTGAGTGTCTGTGCCGGTTGAGAAAGGCTGGCTACGTTGTCGGTGCCAGCGTTGCTGGTTTTGGAGATTACCGCGGCTTGGTGGACGAATTTCAGTATCGTCTAGAAGAGATGGATACGTTGGAGCAGGAAACAAACTGCATGCCTGTGAACGTCACAGGTATGGCTTGGCGGTGAGTGCCCAACCCTTTACTAGCCTTTGGCTCCCAGCTGACATACATCGGAGGCCATCACCAGTGAAGGCTTACAGATTGTAATGCGCGCTGTTGCTGTTATGCTTGGCTGGACCGTATCTCTCGTCACGCGTCATCCACGTGGTGACCGGGCCGTGACTGCCCCGGCGTCCGTTTGCGCTATCTAGTGCGCAATCAACAACAACCACCAAACTTCGTCGCGCTTCATTGCAACCGCAGCTATCACCTCTGTCGCGTTAAGCCGCCGCCGAGAACCTCTTCGCGTCGCTTACTGAACATATCGCGACTTTGTGTGCATCACCACGAACATCCACTGATCCTTCCCTCTTATCACATCCACGAGCAAGGCTTACACAGACACCTCCATACAAATCGCCGTTATGACCACCATCAACGTAGTGAGCTCCGGCAATTGGCGTATTGAGGCAGAAAGGTACGCTTGATCCTGCTCACTACGTGCACAAGACTGACAACTGCGAGGACCCTCAACTCGATTGCCGGGCTTAGCGAGGCTTTCCATGACAAGGCGGCCAAACTTGACAAGATGAAGAAAGCGAACCCCAAAGCGAAGCTCATCCAAGAGAAGCAAGCGTCGAGGAAGGCTGGAGGAGAGCTACGCCTGGCACGGACCAGCTTCACCGATCAGGTAGAGGCTCAGGCCAAGGCCATCTGTCGCCCTTTTTGCGAAGCTGTCCATGACCGGCTGCCGCAGGAACTACGCGACATCATTGCTCGGCATCTTTTGACCGAAAGCTCCATCACTTTCCTCTCCAGCAAAGATGGCAAGATCTCTGTTGTCAACGGCCTCTCGACTCTACGACACGCTTTCGAAGAAGACTACACTGGTATCGGACTGCACATGGACATCATAAGTGAGCTGATAACGCAAGACGCCCGTTTCGACTTTCGCGCTCGACACGAGCTACTGGGCAGGGTCTTTAAGCACTACGCAGCCGACGAGCGCGGTGGCCTCGATCTTGCTTGCAAAATGCGAAGGTTGAGTTTGGTACTGACAGAGCATCATTTGGAAGACCGTGAGGCTGTTCACGCTCGCCTGGAGGAACTGTGTAAACTCAGCAAAGGCGCCAAGATCTTCATCATCATCGAGACGGGTCACGGTACAAAGGCTCAAACTCTCCGTCAAGTGCGACGCGTTCTGCGTGTTTTCTTCGAGCTGCTCAAACGCCTTCACAAGCTCGGCCTCCACATCCATGTCGTCGTCAATCCGGCTTATTCCGCTTCACAGGTCAGGAACGATAGCGGTGACACCTTCTCGGTCATGCACGAAGGACCTTGGAGGTACGTGATCACACCAGAGAATGCTAGTTTCACAGTTGAAGGCTTTGAGAGGCGTCTTAGATATCTCTCTGGAACATACGGACAGCACTGGGATTCACGATTTCCGCCTCGCGATGGGTGAGTGTGGGGCTTCAGGGCATCATGATGGGGTGTATACGATAGTTACAAAGCCAAACATAGTCAGTAGAGTAGTTTTTATATCGTAATCACATGGTTCTAAATCACAGCGCTGAGCAAATTGGTGTCTACTGTATTGTATTCCGTAATCTCCATCGACACAACGTGCCCACAGGCTAAGTCCTTCTAGTGACCCTCTTATGACAACCCACTTCCACTCCTTCTAGATCATCGTCGTCGTCACAGGTCCCATCTCTTTATCGATTCCACCAACTCCAGTAGTCACCGGAGCGTGTGTTGTTTGCATCGTCGTCATAATTGCTGTCCCAGTCTCTTTCATCTGTTCGCTAATGACGGTAGTCACAGTAACCTGTATCGTTCTTGTAGAGCGCACTATACTAGCACCATCATTTGGGTGAAAGCTCCCCTTCTGAAGGAAGATGATGAGGAAGGCTGCGCCTGTGGCTGCACCAGCTAAGATGATGAGGAAACAGGATAAGGCCATAGCGATGCGAAAGGTACTGCTAAGCCACAGACGTTTCCATGGAGGCGGCGGTGGGAGGCGGTATGGGAGGTGCTTGGGGAAAGACGTTGGGGCTTTTGCTTGTGTTGCGGGTATCGTTGGGGTTGGAAAGCGCGGAGCTCGTTCTTTATCAGAGCCACTATTGCTAGCATCCTCCCAAGAGTCTCTTGTTGACGGTGTTGATGGATGGGCGAAGCCTTCGGTCCCTGGAAGGCTGATCTTTTCGTCGTGGCTATGCATGCTGGACATGATACGACTGAAAAGACCCTTGGTTTGCGGGTTTGAGCTAGTAATGTGGTTCTGTGGTACGATAGTTGTGATCAGGGAAGTACAGATGCTGGTCTTGCGAAGGGTACGCTGAGCCAGCGATGAGTTGCATAGTGCACACGCCCAAAGATTGTAGCTACACAATGCCAAACTACATCACAAAGAAAGCAAGACACCGATAGCCGTGCTGAGAACACTGCAGCATGTGTACTGACATCACCGAAGTGTAGATTGCTACATATGAGACGTTTGAGTCGTTATTCGTGCTACCGATATTAGAGATTATGATGTTGAAAGAATGTTCGATTCACAGCTATATATCCAGCATTACTACCACGGCGTCAAATCTGCTGCTTCTTCAATTAAACTCCAAAGCCTACGCATGCGCAGACGAACAGAGCCTACACGTAAATCCTCCCGTCCATGGTACACACATCGCCCGCTCGAACTTCCCATCTGCGAAGCAATTACCTCTGCACTCCTCTACAGATGGCCAACTACCCTTCTCACTGCAAATACTTTCCACAGGCTTCACCGGCGTCTGTCGAACCGGCGCCTCGAACGGGACCGTCTTCGTAGGCGTCGTACGTACCGTTGTTGTTATAGTCGTTGGATCTTGCGTTGTGTGGACTGGTGTGGATGTAAGAGTAGTTGTTTGGTAGACCGGAGGTGGTTCGTGGGGACACCTGGACAGACCAATTTTGATGCCGCCGAGTAGGGCGGCGATGAGTAGGGCTACGATTAGTGTCGTGCAGGTGGGGATGATGAATCTCTTCTTGGTGAAAAGTGAGTGCCGTGCGTAGAATGGGCGTGGGGGCAGCTGGGCTTCGTCGTCGTGGGGGAAGTAGGGGTGGTTGGGGTCGATGTGATCGGCGGGGACGCCTGTGCGTTGGTGCAGGATGCCGGAAAGCTCGATGTTGGGTCGTTGAGACATGTCCATTGATATTGCTGCGTTGTTGTGGGTTGCTGGGTCGCTGTATATCGATGTTGCTCTTTAGTAGGCGGCGGTCAACAGGTTGCATCATGAGGAGGGAAGTGGCAGAAGACATTATGTAACCGCTTTGACTATAGTGAAATAAAGGCGGCCAGCCGAACATTGTTATCATAGTGCAAGCACACCGCTCCAAAATTGCACAATGGAATTCTATGTTAAGTTATGGCAAGAGAGGCAATGTCGCTGGCATGTTGATGCGTAGAGCTGACACTCACTTGCGGATGTCGTACTACCCAGCTCTTGACCAGAACACAAATAGAATTGTAGGCCATCATGAACCGTCGATGACCTGTCAATAATGTGCCCGACTTGCTCTTGCAAGATGACCGTACACGCACAGTCACGACGTCTCATCTGCATGATCTCGAGGAACATACTTTTCCCAGTCCTCTAGCAACAGCCGTTCCGTCTCATCTGCTAGCGTCGTTATTTTATCTGTACAGTAAATGAAATGTCTTGTCCCTTGGAAGTCAAACCAAAACTGATCTACCTCACAACCAGTCATTGCGGCCTCTTCAAGGCCTATTGCGGTGATCGGACAAGCATGACCACGAAAGCGTCCCAGTCTATAACTTTGACATAGTTTATAAAATTGAAAAGAAAAGTTTCTCTTCTGGGCCCACGTAATATCCATCCCAAGAGCAGCTTGCCAACACAGCGTGAAAGCTCTATTCTTGGGTGATTCTGCCGCTAATCCCTCGAGACATTCATTTCGAAGTGCGGCTAGAGCGACGTCCATGAAGAGTTGATCAATCGACTTCTCATAATCGACTGTGACGCGTTGGTCATGATCTACCAGCCCGAGTAAACCGTAGACGTTGTCGCGTGGGTCTGCGCATTCATTCCCCACCACATACCTGTCCAGTGCGTCAAATATACCGAGATGTATGAATCCGCCGGTTCTCCGCAAAGAACTATTGCACATAATCCTATATACGCTTGCAGGTACGTTTTGGCGAATATAGTCATAGAAGGTTTCAGAATGACACTCCGGTCTCCGTGTGCCATCCACCAGCCACATGTCTTTCACTAGGATCCTGATCTGTTTCGCTAGGATGAACTCTTGTACAATCCAAAGTCGCCTAAAGTACTTGTTGTGGAGGACATAAGTAAATGCCGCTATTTCTGCTGTATCCCTCCATACACATGCAGCATCGTACGTGTTTTCGAACTTGTCGTATCCGCCCTCGGCGAGCCATTTGGTATGTGAATTGGGTTTCTCAGAGCCGTCGCCCAACCAAGCAACGACTGACGTAGCTTTGCTGTATATGTCGCTCATCATCTGAACTTGGTGGTTGCGCTCAACAGTACTCGACTGATCAATGCACAGCTGGTGAATCCACATGTAGCGATCCGAAGGCGTCTTGTCGCGGCATTTTCGGAACTCAGTGAGAAATTTGAACAGGTTTTCGCGGATTCTAAGCCGTCCGTCCGCGATGTAGATGTCGTTATACGACGGTGGTGGACCCCAAACGTAGGACAATGCTGTGTATGGCGGTGCTTCCGAGATTTCGAAGACTTCAATGTCGAGACGTATAGCATCGTCATTTACCAGCGGATCCAGAAGCGTGACAAGTCGGATTTGCTGTGTCGCACGGTCTAGTGGCTGGTATTGGTAGTCGTCAAACGCCGGGTTGGCTGCGGAAGACATGTCCGCTCCACGGCTGCCTTGCGCCTCGACCTAACATGTTAGTACGTGCCATGTATACGGCAATCACCTGTATCACCTACCAAGGCACCATGCAGCAGATCAAGTAGACTCGGCGTACGATCAAGCCTTGGGAGGCCCTGTGGACTATGTGAGGTTTGTGGTGATCGCGATAAGGAATTAATACAGCATATTGAATCAAGGCGGGGAAGATGCGCGCGCCAACGTGTTGCTGACTGCGTGGGCTGTGCAGACGTCTGTGGCTTGATTGAGTGACAGTTCTGACCAATGAACTGCGGAGAGCCGCAGAGAGCGCTAGACCTTATCAGGTTAGTAGCTGCAGGAGCATGTTGAGCAGATGGCAGTGCAGTGGCTTGAAGGACACCGAGGACTAGAGTCAAATTAGATCAGCGGGTAGTACACTTAACTCAGGTTAGCGATCGTGTAGACATGAATTTGATGGGTATATACGCCTTGGATGGGTATCGCATGGAATCTCTCAGAGCTCCAGAGCCAGGAATACCAGTTTGGTATAAGGAAAAAATCCCGCTTTCTTTCGACCTTTGTGTTGCTCGAGACTAGGAAAACCAACACAGTCTGTAGGCCTTATCCGTGCTCTCTAAGTATCATTACCATACCGACCATCAGTACCACTGTTGCGCTTACGCCGGGTCTCGGTGCTTCGATCATCGTTGCCTGGGGCCGGCTCTGGACGTCCATTGGCTCGCGCCTGGTCCTCAATGATGTTACCATGGCTCCCAGAGGACCGTCGACTAGGGCGTGAGTTGCCTCGGCGTGGTTGTCGTGGAGCATTTTGCGGGGGGCGGTTGCTACCGTCGTTGCTACCAGGTCCTGTAAAGCGTCGAGCTCCGTTAACGCGGTCAGGCGGAAGCTGGTAAGACGGGCCGCGCCATCGCGAACTGTTGCGCCGGCCGTTGATCGCTTCGGCCTGGCTGCTGTCTCGAATCGCGGGGGTGGGTGTGAGCATGCTGATATCGGTCTTTGCGCACTTGGTAGGGGCTGTCCTCATTGTAGTGTCACTGTCAGGAGCTCGGCGCCGAGAGACTCCATGAACACTTCGTCCTTGCAGACCTTGGTCCTAGAACATTGTTAGCTTTGATCTCGAGAACTACCTAATACTCGAAGACATACCTGGAGTTGAGCACTCTGTTGGCGATTTTGACTGGACTGCTGATCTTGCTTCATCTGCTCTGGGCGGGCCTTGTCATCTGCATCTTGCTGAGCATGCTTGTCTTTGTCCAGACGTGCCTCCAACTCCTCAATCCACATGTCTTTGGGGGTGCTCCTGCTTTGTTTCTGTAGAAGCCTTCGATTGCGCTTCTTAAGAATCGCGTTGAGGACGTCTTCCCTAATCTCTCCGCACACTTCGATACGGGAGTCATGTGGGAGGGGAATAACGTCTAAGACATTTCCAAAGGCGCCCGTCTTGGGTTGGTATGGGCAACCTACTTCTATGTCATAGACGCCTTTTTCTGGGGTGCACGCGACCTTACTGCCCAGCTCTTCGTCCCAGCAGTAGTATTCTGCATCTTCTGCTTTCTTGAGACCGAAGCAATCCACGCGGACTTGTATGGGCTTCGATAATGGTCCGCGTCCTCCGGAAGTGCCGAGCTTTAGGACCTCAAGTTCGGTGGTGTTGTCGATGACGATACCGTATCTCGTCTTGAAACAAAACCAGCCAAACTGCGTCTGGACAGCATTGGGGTCATTCGCTTCGCAAAGGACCACATGAGGGAAGTTCACAATTGTGCCCCTCTTGTAATTATCCTTGTCGACAGGGGCGTGATTGTTCCATCGTGTTTCCTGGGATTCTCTCCGCCGGGGCCCGCCGGTTTGTTCAGGCCCAGAGACTTCTCGTGCAGATAACATCATTGGCGCGCTTGACTGTCGATGCGCGATTGTGGAGCAGGCGTCGTGACAAAGTTCTGAGAGAGGGTATACGCCGCTGGTAGAGCCGCCTGAAGTAGCGAGCGCTTAGATTGGTCGGCGCTGGATATTGGACTTCCGCAGTGTAGGATTCTGCGCTGATATGGCAAACAGTTAGCCCGCTGTGTTCATGTACTAGGGGGTATCGCTGGAGCTACTTCGGTCGTGTGGTATCGTTTCGCTCTCGGAGATGGCAACAGCTTACCTGTGAGCGAATTCTTGGCGTTGCATAGTGAATAGGGCGGCGGAGGGACACCGCGCACATTCCACGCTCACCTAGCCTATAAAGTATTTTGCGTAGTCGAATCTGCGCACTCTCTCCGTAATCGTCTGTCCTACAACAACTTTCTCGCCTTAATATCAAACTCGTCGAGAATAAGACATCCAAACGTGGCGGCTTTCGTAATCTGACGATTGACGCTTTTACTCGACATCCGGCTTACATTATACCACAAACTTCTGGACATGTCTACCACTCAGGGTGTTTTAAAGACCGCGATAAGCCTGTACAGGGCGGTAGCGGGCTATATTCCTCTCCTCCGTCACTGCGAAGGCCACATTCCCCGCGATAATGGACGTACCGGTGATGTCGCTGGAGGACAGTCAATCTTATCTAAAATCGACATGTCGTCATTGCCTACACAGCTTCTGATCACCTCCGTCCAGTCTGGAAGAAGCAAATACGAAACAATGCTGAAGCTCCGGTCCAAGTCGGATTCGATCAAAGCGGATATCGCGATGGTGGAGTTAAACGAAAAAGACGCCCGGTCGACAATCCAATGCAAAGAGGCGGCTATCGAGAGGATGAATCATCGGATGCAACATCTGAGTGGCAGCGGAGAAACGAAAGCCCAGCAACGTTGCCTGAAGGTCTTCTCGCGCGAGCGCGACGCAGCTATGAAGACCAAACGAGAGATGCAAAGATTGGTCAAATCGCTTACGAAGGAACGCGATAAGAATCTTTGCTTATTTGCTGAAGTCGTGATGGAGCTCCAGGATACGTTTCTTTTGCCAAAGGAGAAGGGTGATCCTATCATATCAGAGCAGCATGGGCATGATATCGTCCAGGAAGAAGTGGTGAACCAGATACAGGAGCACGGACAAGCCCTGATACAGCAAGACAGTAATATACCAGAAGTGAACAATGTTCAGTCGAACAATTCGCCAGGCGCCGCCCAAAGAATCGAAAGCGGCAACTCTCCCATCCGTACCCAGCCTGTAGAGGCTTCGCAAGCCGACGTCTGTAGCATTGTTATCGATCATGGCTGTCTTGATCAGCAAGCCGAGACCCAGTCCATCAACATCACTGCTGACAACCATGATGTATCGTTGGACCCGCCAGTGGAAGACAGGGGTGGCTCGCCATCCATCATAACGAGTTATTCTGCTATCCACTTCGAAGACCCGCAAGAGGTGCAGGGTATGGCTGAACCAGGAAATGATGTCGATGCTGATGGTCGGACAGTCCATGAAGTGCAAGAAGTCAGAATCGAACAAGAGACCGGAGAAGCACTTCCCCACCAAGATCCGTATGTCAAAAGTTCCAAAGAAGAGTGGGATAGGATTGAGCAGGCCATCAAGAAGCTCGAGCGATGTGAGAAGAGTTATTGGGAGAGGAAAGAAAAGTTCGAACAGCACTACAAGACGTTTGATGAAAAGCTGGATAATTTCTGCTCGAGCAACCCACACTTGAGTAGAGCGGATGCAGAACAGAGATTCGGTGCAGCCTTCCTGAAAACGGGGGGACATCTCCGTTACTACTTGACGGTAGGGGAAGAATGGCTGAAGAAAGCCCGACTTGAGGCGAAAGAAGCAGGGGTCCACGACTGCAACTCATGGGACCAGGAGTCTGGCTTCCTTTCAGTGGCGGGTGAAGGTCCGGATCCAGAAGACACTGGATATATGAGCGATACTCGTGATCACGAAGTGGTGAAGGAGTGGCTGCAGATGCCTGAGGGCCCAGAAATCATGCAGCCTTCTGAGTTCAAATTCGCGACATCGAAAGTGAACGTCGATCCTTGGGAGAGTCATTCCACAAGGGGAGACTCAAGCAAACGGAAGAAGATAGACGAAAATGTCGACACTTGGGAAGTTCAGTCCTCCAAAGCGTACTCAAGCAAGCGGAGGAAGATCGACGGGGATGTTCCTTGGGTGGCGCCCAACGACAGCAATGACAGCGCATACGGCACAGCCAAGGAGGACAGGGGAGACCAGAAGCAATCGGAAGGTCGAAGGAAGAGACCTCGCGCAAGGTCAGAGGTAGCCCATAAGCGACGTGCCCGATCATTCGACGCGCTTCCCGGTTACGAGGTTGCCAAAGGGATGTTCTCAGACACGCCTGTAGAGGATCACAGTGTAAGTGTTGACCCCTCTGTACTAGCCGATACCGAGTACTGACATTTCCACAGGTCTGGATGAAGCGAGATTACCGAGAAGACGTTGTCATGGTTGATGATGAAACGACCGACGACGACACCTGAGCGATCAGGCAGCAAACTGATGGATTTCCAACATCAAAGTCGGTGGAATGCGAGGTGATGAACCAGCGAATGAAGCAGTTACGTGCAGTTGCCAGATGTAGCAAGTCGACTACCAGAACCCACCCAAGGAAGGTACGCCTAGAGACGCGAAGCCTCATTTCCCTCTCTTTACACATCGACTACGACCTACCCCACTTCCTCTCAACTTTTTTCCCTCGCGTCGTCGATCAAGTTGCGGTGAAAGCCCTTCAACAGTCGGTCAGATAACGCGCGGAATATCGTCGGGAAGCTGCAGAAGATCGGGGGACCACAGCGACATCTCAAAACCCCCATCTCGCTAATGGCACAACCCGCTTTCGGATGCGACACGAATTTACGTATGCGCGACGCGGCGCGCCATCGTACGACTTGTTGTCCGTGGTCCCGGTTGGCAACGTTGCGCAGTATAGCGGGGGGAAGTTTGTTCCGCCCAGGGCTAAGGCAAGGACGAGGATCAATTTCCCCAGATCAGGCTATGCACCAGTCCGGGGAAAGCGGGCGGCGAGGATAAGGCTTGGACGAAACATGTCGGATGTTGCCAAAGAGCAATGGCTACGTCGTATTACCAACGATGAAACGACGTTGAGGTCGCGTTAGCTCGCGTCTAACCCGCGGCTTCCATGGCTTCCTATTCGGCGTCTCGACAATACCTAGGTATGATGCCATGACAGGCGAGCTTGGCTCGGGCTATTGCTAGACACGAAGAAGCAAAGAAAGTTCACGCCAGGAATAGTCGCCCGGTAATAATGTCGATATATTCAACGACAACATGGAGTCATGGTTCGGATGATGCGGAGAGAAAACTGTTTGCAGAGGACGCGTCGCGCATCGAGATCGCAACGCGACTGGCGCTGACACGAGTTTTTGCGGCGCCAAACCTGTTCGATCAGTCTTCGATCAGCGATTCCTTGGACCTTTGGCGAGAACAACGTGGATTAGCCTTGCGCAGGGCGGCCAACGCAGGACGGAGAGAGGTCTGAGATCTGAGATGTCACTCTTCTGCCGCAATTTCGACCGGTAGAAAAGGGGCGGCACGATAGCACAAACGTCAGTGACGCCTTGGTCGTGACACCTGTCGGCTCGAGCGTTCTTCCAACAGCGTTCTCGAAGCTTCATTCCAGCCGGGCAGCCGTTGCATTGCAGATGTTATTTTCCGCGTCGCAACCCAAAACGGCTTGCCTATCTGGGTGCATCCGACTCACAGGGAGCATGAGTCGATGATAAGCGGTAGAAAAAGCCGTTGCGAATGCGAAAGGCTGTGCCTGGATGGGCATCAAGCAATCAAGCAGTAATGCGCATCCCGCTGATCAAAGGTGGAGAGACAAAGTTCCAGACGCCTCGTCTTCCTTTTCGAGTGGGCGAATCCCAGCCTGCTGGTATCCGGGGAATGCAGCCCGGAAGCTCCACTTACCCCATCTTGCTCTGCCGCAAGCCCTCGCGTGGGATGTGCATACACTTGCATATCGGACAAGCGGTCAGAGAATTGACTTGTTCGGTCCGGTTTTGATGATGCCTTGCTTGCGACAGCCGCCCAAAGGACACTGTGGTGTCTTGCCTGCCCACGTCATGCGCTTGTCGGCTCCTACCCGCGGACCGCCGCCGTGTATCGCAAGGTATTGGTTTGCTGGTTCGGGCCGTCTACGATAGAGCGATAGGCATCTTTTTTCTACCCAGCAAGCTCCTGATGCCGTCGAGGAATGCGTAGGAGGCTGCGGAAGGGCCTGGGGGCTTGTGCGCCTTGTTTGTCACATCCTCGCTTCGAGAACATCGTCTCAGACGCGTCGATGATGACAGGACGCCCCAGAACAGCCTTGATTCTGCGACCCTGGAGCAGGATCAGGGCGTGGGGTGGACTCTGCGCGCCAGGTGCAACGATGGTTGCAAAGCAAGGAGTTGCAACCGTCCGCTTCCCCGTGTTGCCGCCGCATTTGATTGCTGATTATACTTTTGCTTTTAGCTCAAAACGTATGGCCCTTCCGAGATTCCGTTACTACCCTGGCTAATGATGCGAGTCAGGGTTTGTCTTTTCGGCGGTGAATAGCGATCGTATCAGTACTTTGGTCTTGTACTCCGTCTTGTATAAGAGAGCTACCCCCTTCGGCGCGGTATCGCCCTCTCCAACACATCGCAAAGTACAACTCAGCCCAAAGCCCAATACTACTTGATACTCAAAAACCACATCTACGTCAAACCTCTTTGCTTTCTTCAAACACACCACCAAAGCATTCCTCACACACGAGCCTTCTACAACACCGAACTTGTGTAACACGCCTCGCTCAGTGACACGCACCCACCGAAAAGTAAGCCCAGCCCCCTACGCAACACTCTTCCCCATACCCGAGCACCTCAAGTCCGGGGCTCCGCCAAATCTGGTAGCCCTGCATGGCCAACGCACAAACCACACATCAGCCCTGTCGCAAACAGCCCCTCGCCCTCAGCACATTCTACCCTGATATATTAAATCTGACTCACCCTTCCTTAGGCTCACACCCCAGTCTCCGTTACCGAGTCAGCCCCCCGAAGTTTTAGTTGTTGTCACAGCCCGAGACAGCACATCACATATCTTTTGCGCCTTCCCCCGAGCGAAACTTGCAGTTCTTACCCTGCATTGCACCAGCGCATCAATACTTCCGGCCCGTACCAGCTTTTCGGCTTCCGTTGCGAACTATTTAATCGACTGTTCCGGACACCCTCCATTTTACCCGCCAGTCTTCCTTGCTACTCCCTATACGACTCATCGTCGTCTACGTACCGAGTACATCGATCTCCACACACGAACCATCCTTCAACTTTACAAAACCACACAAACAATCACCAAGATGCCCGCCTCATCAGCCTCCGCGTTCAACCCCCGCCAGCGCCTCTCCATCTTCACAAACTCGACTCTCGGTCACGATGTCAGCGCAGCGTTCAAGGCATCTTCCAGCCTGAGCTCGCGCTCCATGGAGGTCAACGAGACCCCCGCGCCACCGCCATCGCCCGTCGACTTCAGCTTCCCCAGCACACCAGCCGACAGCCGGAGGGGTAGCTCGGGCTCGAACTAGAGCGCCTCGCTTTTCTCCATCTTCTTACTTCTTTGCACTTAGCGGGCTTGGTTTGGGTACTTGATGTGGCGTTGGATGCTTGGGGTTGTACATTGCCATGGCTCTTTTGCGCGTTGATCGCTGCGTGTCCTTATCCTTGGTTTCACAGTATTCTTCACCACTCTTTGTTTTGCTTCTTATCCCCCGTTTGCTTTTGCAATACTATGCTATATTTTGGCACTTTTTCCCGGAGGAGGGTTTAGATGTGGGTTCCTGTGCAGACGGCTACGTAGCCGCGAGGCTGGCTAGCTTTGACTATTCGGTAATGAGATATGCATCAATCAATTATATACCCAACTTCACATTCGTTTGCAACGCGTTCTTATTCCTCGAATGACATTATTGAACACTTTCAATTTCATGTAAAACGCAACGTGTCGTTACACGCAAAACGATATACCCATCGCTCTACGTCACCACAAACTATCAAGCTTGTACACAACATAAAGCATCCCCCAGACAACGTCATCAACCCCTTCCCACTCCCATACCACGACCCCCCAGTCTCTCCAACAAACTTCACTAGTCCCCACTCCCGAAACAGTCGAGCACATCTCTTCCGCAACAAGCATCCAACCCTGAATTCCATACCCAAACTCAGCTTGTATCCGGCACCCTACGCGACGACATCATACTTGTCATGACATCTTACATTCGACATCACAATATCCTACTACCCCACATCATAACCTCACACTACCCCCACACTACGCGAATTACCTCCACACCCTGTAACCCAACTACCGCGACACCATCTTCCTTGAATCTCACACTAAATCTAACCCTAATCCTATTCCTAAATCCTCCATCCCACTCCAACGTCATCACCCACCCATCCAACCCCGTCTCGTCAGCACCCGTGACTCACACATTAGCCTCCCAGTCAGGCGTAGCGGTACTTGTATTTGAGGGAAACTGCTTACTACCCATCGCACGGTCGGTTGGTGTTCTGCTCGGGCCATGTCCTGTGCGTGGCCCGAGGCAAACGTGAGTGAGGTGAGATGAGCTTACCTGAGATTCTAGGCGTGGGCGTTGGGTGTTGGATAAAGGATGGAGGAGAAGTAAGATGACAGGGTTTTGTGGACGTTGGTGGAAGTGACTGTATCGGGAATCTATAGGTGGGTGAATCATTTGTGGGGTGAGGGATGGATGGACGGCATGGTGAAACGAAGGGTAGTGTGGATGTGAAGGCATTCGGCACTTTACTCGGCGTGTTGGAATGCTATATCGTGGATTGGTGTAGTAGTCAACGGATTGATCCTTTTATCTTGGAAACGTAAAAGATTGCAATAGTCTTGCTCGGTATCTGTACATGGTATTTTATACATAGATGAATGCAAAGGCCATATTTCGAGCTGCAGGTAACTACTCGCCTCTCATAGTCCGACTTCAATTGTCTCGCGGGGAAGCCTGTGCCATCTCAGCTGTAAGTGCATCCTCCACTGCCTCGATACTATTGTCGTCCTTGCGTTTCGCCCTCCGTAGAAAATTGGAAGGAGCATCGTGATACGACTGAAGCCCAGCATACTTCCTAATCCTCGGCGCCCCCTTCTCACCCTCTACAATCGGCTCCTCATTCTTGGCAAAGTGCTTAGAAATAGTAACGCCTTCAGGCGTCTCTGATACGACTCTTCTAAAGATACTCACATCTTCCGGGCGACTCGCTCTCAGCTCTTTGATTTTCAGGCTCAGTCCAGCTTGTGAACGCTTTGGACTGGGGTCTTTGCGAAGACGCAGGAGTTCCGGGGTACCTTGCAATGGGGTTCCAGCTTTGATGGCAGAGTCGACGGCGTAT